CCTTCCTTCCTCCCAACTGTGCTTGAGAAAATTCCAGCTAGGTAATAAGATTGCATTAAAAAAAAAACAAAACCCATAGAACTACAATAAATCAACAACCATAACAAAAAAGCCAACAAAACCAACCACCTCAAATAGTCAATAATACTGGGATTTGGAATTGTTAGAAGATTATTAGTGAAACTTTTGTTCTAAATTGAAATTTTTGTTCTAAATAACCCTGTCTTGTTTCAGAATTTTGTGGTAAACAAATTGTATAAATTTGCCTTGCTTTTTGTTTCTACATATTTAAAAGCTATCCCCTAAAAGCAGAATTTTCTTGGAGAAAAGGAAACACTTCATTACAGTGAAGCAGACACTTTCCTATTTCCATGAGACAYAGGCTCACAGGCTGTTCACAGGATCAGTTCAGTCATTCATTTCTCGGGAAGCAAAAACATAAGGAAATGTTTGAAAACAGCTGGAATTCTTATCCATGTTGATAGTAGCAAGCCCTAATCTTGTATTATTTGCTAGTGATTAAATGCCTCTGCTAAAAGAATGCCTGAAGTCCTAAACACAGYGCACAGAATACATACTTGAGAAAACAGGACACCTTCTGATGCAGATTTATCATTGTCTTCATGCTTATGTTATTAAAACCGTACCAAAGGCAGAATCGTACAAAGCAAAATACTTCAGTTGTTTGAAAAATTTGTGAAAAAAATTTGTGAATTTTTTTTCAATCTTTTTTTAGGATTGCTGTGGAAAAGCTTCATGAAATGGATAATGCTTTCAAAAAACAACTTGAATCAGTGTTGGCAGCACATCAGGAAGAACTCTTGCAGCTGGCACATGAAAAGGAAAAACAAATTGAAGCAGCAAATGAAAAAGTAATTTTAATAGTCAGTTTATATATTTATTGTATTTGCATTTTTATTCTACAACTGCTACAAGAGTGGTACTTGTGAGTCTCCTGTTTGAATCTATCAGGCTGACTCTGTGTGTAAACAGCCCTAGTTTAGTACTCAATCTTGGCACAACAAGAAAATCCCTAGGGTTGTGCCATCATGAAGTTTTGTATTCAAGCAAAGTAAAGTTCCATKCTATGTAGCTGTTGTGAATCGATAGCTGAACATATCCTTAGCTATACAGGCAAGAGTAATGATGACTATGCCAGATAATCCATTTAACTCACCTATGCCAACCTTACAGTTACTGTTTCTGTCATCTACTGCATTCTACCTTAACATGACAACTGGTGCTTTTTYCCCATAACAAATTTCCTGGATTGAYAGAGTACTTGCTATCTCCTAGCAGATTAATACTTGTTTTTAAAGAAAAATTCYGCTACTGCATCCTGTATCAAGAGTAGTGCATTGCATATTTAAACATAAGCATGTAACTCTTGCATTGATTATCATGGTTAAAAATTGCTAAGACTACATCAGTTTAGGTGTATTAAGAAAAGTAGCAATTCTGTTTCATCTCTGTATACTCTTTCAGGTTTACTGTGTTGAAGAAGAAATGCGAGAGCTTCTGCAAGAAATGGCAASCAATAAAAAAGCCATGGAAAATAAAATACGCCGACTTACACATGCACTGAATGATATTCAACAAGACTTTGAAGATTATTAATATTTATGCTAAAAATGTATATTACACAAGCAGTTTCATACACTACAATGCACTTTCCCTTGTTTTCTAGATAATTAAGTCTTTGTTGTATATTTTGATAGTTCAGGGAGCAGGCATAAATGTTCTTTCTATTTTCATAATAAATAGTTGTTTCTAACCTTTGGTTATTTTTAACTGCTGCCAAAAATGGGTCAAAATATGTGTAGATGAAAAGCATCATAYAAAATTAGAAATTAGCATGTTTAATAAGAGCAAATTAAGTTGGAAAGTTCTAAGCCAAGATGCAGAAGCTTTGCTTCAGGGAGGTAAAGATTCTTGTAATGAGAGAACCAAGAATGTTGAATCACAGAATGGCTCGGGTTGGAAGGGACCGTAAAGATCATCTGGTTTCAACCCCSCTGCCATGGGCAGGGACTTTCCACTAGACCAGGTTGCTCAGAGCTCCATCCTACCTGGCCTTGAACACTTCCAGAGATGGGGCATCCACAGCTTCTCTAGGCAGTCTGTTCCAGTGCCTCACCACACTCACACAAAGGAATTTTTTCCTAACATCCTATCTAAATCTACACTCAGTTTAAAACCATTCTCCCTTGTGTCACAACAGACTCTCTTCCTCTTTTTTTTTGTACCTGAAATTATGTTTTATCTGCCACTGTTGGAGAATGTACAACTATTGCAACTTAAGAGTGGCTTCTTTGGCAATGTAGTTTGATTTTCTGCCCAGCAACAGGCCTACCAGGCTTTTGAAATATAGGAGACARTAACCTATGAGCTTCTTACTGAAGCAAAGCATAAGCCTTATGTTAATTTATTGYTACACTTATTTCATGGTGGATGCTTTACCATTTCCACTGTACTCAGGCATTTACTTCATTTGCTTGTTCTCAGAAGATCCTAAACTGTTACTGAACTACACCATCCTCTGAAGTTTCATGCTGTAGTAAATTCGGATACACRTTCACCAGGTGGAGCTATTTCCTCCTCCCTTGCACCTCGCAGTAGCTGAAGCAGAGTCCTGTTGCTCCAGTGACAATAGCAGCTCCTAAGCCAACCTTACCATCAGTTGTTCAGAACCCAGACTTTAACACACTGGCACCATGTAATTGTCTGCCTTTTTGTGCACAGCAGCTCCATAAAAGTACTCTGTGCTAGTAAAAAGCCCTTGCCTTTGGCTAACTGTGGAAGGCCTGCTGTCTTTGTTATCAATGCATTAATGAAAACTTGTTCTGGGAATCAGAGCTCAATACCAGCTGCCTCTTGTTATGAGGTGCAGCTTAAGTGTGGGATGTAAAAGGCCTTGAAAGCAYGGGCACAAGTTGAAAGCAGAGGCTATGCAGCAAAAACAGCTACCTGATGATCAGTGACTAGTCTTTAGCAAAACACAACCTTTAGAGCTGGGAACTTTTGTTTTGAGAATGGAAGTAGCAACAGCAAAGCAAAATAAAAAAAAGGCAGCTGAACAACTGAATGAGGTGCCTCCAACAGCCTGGGAAAACAACCCCCACTCTGCTTCACACAGGGGGAGGCATGTGGGRCTGGGAATTGTCTAGAGATTGCATGGTCTTATAAAGGCAGAATTCCAAATTTGTGGAGGGGACAGAAAGCAGACATCTGCTTCTGCTGACTTCCTGCATCCAGAGTTCCCGTTCCTGACCCATGAAATCCTGAGGAATGAGCCATCAGCACTAACAGGGAGTGTCTGCACTGTGGTGCTCCTATCTAAGGTAGGATAGAGCTGTTAWGGACTGTTTGCTTGCCATCTGTGCCATTGGTTCATAATATGTAAGAATATATAGCGGTAATGGTTAGGAAAGTGTAAAAAACAAACTCTTACTATCAGTTCTCTAAAGGCAGAAGAAAATTATTTCTTATTCTTGTGCTATATAAATTCAACCCACAGTTTGTGAGGAAATACTCACCTGAAAAGCTGTTCTRTAGTATTTTCACCGATATCATTGGTGCAGAAAAGTTGCACCACTTCAGAGTTCTTTTCTGTCATGTTGATGGAGTGTTTCCTAGGGCACTTCTTTTTTTCTTTGCTTATTATTTGACCAAACTATGCTTTGAGTGAAGTCATTGAACACCTGGAATGCACCAGGAAGAACTTCTTACCCTGATTCAATTTCCCTAACATTAGTATCTCCTCTGAGTTTTAACTCCAAAATTTTTGTTCTGAAACTTAAAAGTTTCTCATTTCATCATATGGAGTTCATAACATTTTTATGTGAATTCTTTGTATTCCTTGCTCTTGGCTCAAGAATTTCATACTACAGTACTCGGGAATGTGCATATGTTAGTAGTGCTTGGAAAATTTGTTTTTCTTGCAGATAACTCCATCTTTGGTATCGTTTCTCTCTTTATGCTTACATGGCTTCCTTAGAGCTCATTAATAAGTGTTTAAAACTATTTTTACCTTCAAAATGGTAAAATAACAAAGATGTGGTGCAGGTGGAAGCTGTAGCAAATTTGCCTATTCACAAGGATAAATTTCAATCCAACAAGACTGAAAAATATAAATTTATAAAGTATAAACAAAATGTGAAYGTTGATCTTGTCAGATGCAAGGCATCCTCTCATGCATTAATYATGACAATTTAAAATCGAATCCATTCGATTTTGTTTTCATTTCCAGACAAGAGAATTACCTGRTTCTATAGTGCGTGTGTAATCAGGAAATTCCTGTGTTACTTGAGACAGAAGGACTTTGCTTTCAGGTCCAGAGCGACGGTGTTACCCTGTATGTGCACATGCTGCCCTGGACAWGCTGTTGCAGGTACAGCTCCTGTGTGCCACGGCACACCCAAGGTACCGTGCTCCACTGCCCTGTGTGATGGGTACCTGAGGATCTGCTCTTACTTTAAGTGCATTCCCGGAGTACTTATACAGTGCAGACTTTAAAGCTTCCCTGCTTTTATCGGATGGTAACTGAGAGAAAGAGGTGTACCTGAATTAAGGCCGAATATATGTAGAGACCAGTGGAAGAGACTGGGTAAGCATTAAATTCCCTGCGCCTCTGGCCAGACCATCAGCGTGTCCTGTACCTGGCCTGGGGCGATGTGAGAACATGGTTTGCAATTAATCTAAGTGCTTTTCTWTCAAATGCAAACGGTGAAATGAGCGACAAGGAGCTATCGTGCCGGGGACAGGCGGGCTCACGGGACACAYCTGGCCGACTCCAGGCCCGCGCTAYCCGTCCCGGGGGCGCTTGACCGAAAGCCGGGAGCGGCCCGCTCCAGCCAAGGGTAAATCCTCTCTCAGGCCGCGGGGCCGCTCGCCCTGCCCCGCTCGGAGGGTGCCGAGCCCGTTCCCCGCCCGCAGCCCCGMGGCCGAGCGCTCCGGTGTCCAGGCAACGGCGGCGGCGTCACTTCCTGGGCACCGCCCCTGCCGCCGCCGCGCTGGGGCCGGGGCCGCGCTCCTCTCGGCCGTTGCGGCGGTCCCGACACGTGGCCCCGCCGGCGGCATGGCCGCGGCGGCCGAGGCGGCGGGCGGCAGCAGCCGCCACGAGAAGAGCCTGGGGCTGCTGACCACCAAGTTCGTGTCGCTGCTGCAGGAGGCCAAGGACGGCGTGCTGGACCTCAAAGCGGTGCGAGGGCGGGGGGGCGGCCGGCGGCACCGCCGGGCCGGGCACAGGGCCCTGTGCTGCAGGGAGGGCGGCGCAGCGAGGGGGCCGGGCAGGGCCGCCCGTCCGCTCCCTCCTTCCTTCCTTCCCTGCCGCCCGCCCGCTGTGGTGGGGCTTGCCCGGGCCGCTGCCGGGCTGCGGGTGTCCCGTGATGGCTGACAGCCGCCGCGATCGGCTAAAATACGCGTTTCGGCTCTTTATAAAGGGCTATTTTGGGCACCGTGCGTTAAGTTGAAATTATTGAGGGTGATTTTATTTACTGTTCTGGCCTCCTTAGTACAGGAGGAGCTGCTGGAGAGCAGGAGAGGGTCCAGTGGAGGGCTACAAAGATGATGAGGCCACTGGAGCATCTCTCTTAGAGGAGAGACTGCGGGAACTGGGTCTGTTTAGTTTGGAGAAGACTGCGAGCAGGTCACAGCAGTGCATCTAAATGTATTATAGGTTCGTGCCAGCAGGATGGTGCCAGACTCTTTGGTGGTGCCTAGTGACATGGCGAGGAGCAGTGGCCATAAACTAAATCACAGGAAGTTTCACCTCAACATGAGGAAGAACTTCTCTATGTTCAGGGTGGCAGAACACTGTAACAGTCTGCCTGTGGAGGTTGTGGAGTACTTTCTGTCTGGAGACATCATAAAAACACCTGGTCGAGTTCCTATACACCTCAAAGGTCACCTGCTTTAGGTGACCCTGCCTTTGCAGGAGGGTTGGACTAGATCTCCAGAGGTCCCTTCCAGTCCTAACAATTCTGTGATTTATTTTTTTCTGCCCTGTGTTTCTCTGTGCACTGACTCAGTGTATGGGCTGCTGYTTAAACCTGTTTCTTGCCCACCCTTCCTCGATGTCCTTTTAGTAAGAGAATATGATGTTGAAAATCATTGCCACCTTATACTTTCTGTTAAGTGGGAATGAAAGAAGCTGAATTGGCATGTGAGTGACAAATCATCACCCAGCTCTGCAGCCAGCCTGCTGTTTCCAGGGCGTGAGGGTGTTGGGCTGCAGTGGCTGGAGCTACTGCGGTGATACCCTGGGACCAGCCTGCCTTGGCCAGGTCCTCATGCCAGGAGATCACTGGATTGCAGGGTGGATCCTGGGCACCCTGTCCTGCCAATTCCCTGGAGCATGCTGATTCCCTGCCCAGGAGCTCGGGGCCTCCGGGTTGTTGGGGTGTGCGGTGCATCAGGGCAAAGCTGTGTTAGCCTGGCKGGTTAAGGTGGTCAGTGAATGGCTGAGGTGCTCAGCAAAGTGCAGCAAAAGACTTGGCGCTTTGGTTAAAGTCGTTTCTGAAAACCTGAACTATTTTTTGGTTACTCTTAATGGRCCCCAGGAGGTGAATGCTTTTTTTGTGCATCCCTGTTCAGAGAGGATGCACTTTGGTGATGTTTCTGTAGCTAGTGAAACTTCAGGGTGAATAGGGAAGAACACTGATAGGTTTTATGTTCCTCCTTCAGTTATACTGTGGTCTGGAGAAGTTGATGAGCTTCTTAGTATTAATTGCCTCTTTCTTTAGCAAAACAGAATGAAGATGTTTAGATCTTTGGGATTGTTGTACAGCTTCCTTTATTGTCTGCTATGTCCTGAGATGTTCTGGTTCAATATGAGAAGCAAAACATACTCAGTTTGTAAGACATGGCAGAACGCTTGTCTTGAAGTGAGGAAGAGGATTGATTTGAACGATAAAGCTGGGCTGTGTAATGGGATGGAACAAKGTTTCTTGTCCTCTTTAGTGAGAAAGGTACCAACTCAGAGGSAATGAAAGGGTTGATAGCCAGGGAAAAGCTGAGTGGGCATTGCACCCAGCCACAGACATTTTTGCCCAAGACCTATTGGAGACTGGTTTCTGAATTACAGGTTACAGTTTGTTCAAAGTAAATATTAACTGCAGTGTGTAAATTGTTGGGACCTYCATGAGCAGTGAGTCAGAACACAGATTTCTGTAACTGGTTTTCTCATAAATAAACCATATWTGTAAGGAAAAATGAAGACCAGTGTGTGTGTCTTTGTTATGTCTGGGTGCTCAGCGAACTGAAGAGCAGGACAGTCTTGAAATGGAGCAGAGCATTCTAAGAAATGATTCATGCAGGGGACACCTTTAAGTGTCTCTCTGCTGCCTGGTATTGATTATCTGATGTTGTGCTTCTGGTCAGTATTTCTGTAGCAAAATCAGCACTGGGACGAAAATATAATTCGAAAACAGGTGGACTTCTAGCTTTGTGATTTAGCAGTTGAGAAGAAAAATCTGTTCTAAGGGTAATTTTCTGCTGATCTTTAATACATCTGTAGTTATAGTTTAGCAGGCTGTAAGAGGAAGCAGTGAAAATGTTTTAGTGCTGGACAGTTTTCTGGTAGCATCTGAAAAATTGTGGAACTGAGAATTATCTTTACTTGAAATTTGAATTTTACATTTATTTTAAAAGCAAACAGCTGTTCTAAAATAATGGCATATTTGGCACCGAATTAATCTAGTTATAGGATTAAGCTTAAAAGATTATGGGATGATATAGAAGGGAAAGAAAACTTGAGTTTCTATCTGCAGCAGCCCATAAAATTGCAGGGAAAAAGAAAAAGAGCATGAGTGGATGGATGCTCTCCAAGCATACAATTGCTTCTGTCTTAATTTCTTAAATGGGCTCTCTTTCTGGCAGAATGACATCCCTGCTCTAATGATGGTTAAGTATTTTTTCTGATCATCAGTGCAAAACATGAGGTATTCTAAAATCTGCTTCTATTAGAAATGTATTGGTCAGGGGCAAGTAACAACTGCCTTACACTTGCTATACTCTACAGAAGAAGAAAGAGCCTGTCTATTCAGTTTTACAGTCCCTCAGTGTTTATGTCCTCAGTGATATTCAGTACATTTACATACAATTTGACAAGAGCATCATTCAACTTAAAACTCACACCAAACTGTTGTCAGCCCTTTTGGGGAGAAAATGTTGTCTTGTGGTACAGGCAGAGTTCAGAAGATGCAGGACCTCTTTCCTTTGGCACGTGGAGAGCAAGCAGGCAGTGCTGGCCCCTGTGCTTTGTTAAGGGTTCAGTAATGACTGTGCCACAGTTCTCTATTGAGTTCCTCTGCTCTCCAGGGCTAATGCAGCATACATGCAGTTGATGATCTCTGCTGTCTTTTTTCAGCTCCCAGGAAGCAAAGAAGTTGTGTGGGGGCACAAACTCAATTGCCCTTTTCCTGACTTTCCTCTTTCTGGGCATGTGTGTATGCACCTGCTGCTGAACCTGTGCCAAACAGTTTTCTGTATTCCAGGAGCTGCATGATAAGAATGCACACAGAACCGTAACTCTGTCCTTTGATATTTTATTCTAGCTCTGAACCTGTCTAGGAGACACTCACATWGTGCTTGACTTGAAAACATACTTGATCAAAGTATGAGGAGATATTAGAAGGAATAACTAGAGTTCATCAGCTTTGCATTGGAAAGATTTTATGAGCCCCTGAATGTGGAAGCTATGTCCACCCATGTTAGCTGGGCCATTGTTGTAGGTGTCCTTTGCTCAACATAGGTTGAGAATTTATGAGTTTTAACAGTGTTTTTGACAACCAGAGATTTGTCTCAGGAAGYTCTTTAAATTATTTAAATTATTAGTGTATGGTTTGTGTGGAGAGCTGAACTCAATTTCTGACCCATGTACCTGTCAGAAGGTACACATTGTTAACTGTTAGAATGTCAAGGAGGAACTTATCAATTGCTTCTTTTAATACTTGTGAAAATTTAAAAAAGAGGAATTAGATTACAAGAGCAGTACCAGRAAGCTAGTGAATGTCTGGATTAGACTTGTCAGCTTGGAAAGTGGCCTCAGCTTGACTTCTTTGGTGGAACTCTTGTAAGTAGTTGAACTTGATAGCAGTGATTGAATTCTATACTGGGCTAGTCAAGCTAAATACATATATAACTATCATTCATTTTCATGTGAAATGAGTCCCTATCCTGGGGATCTGGAGCTGTGATTGCAGTGGTGGTAAATCTGCTGCTGTTGTTCATGGGAKCTGTGCTTTGGGCAGACAAAATGCAATAGCATTTAGCATGGAACAATTTTTTCAACTTTGAAAYATCTGAAATTGGACGCTCAGAAAAAGCGACTATTTTACAGAAAAAAAAAATACAGTTTGAAAATACATTAAGATTAGTCAGGCATTTATGTTTTGTAGACAGGCCATTGGGAAAATCTCAGAAAGTGATGAAATCTCTCTCCAGAGCAGTTCATCATTCAGACCATGAGTGGTAAACAAAGTCCTAGGTCAACATGTAGAGAGCACTGGGAAAAACACAGAAAGTTGAATGGAAGCTAAGTGTGTACTGTCCATTCCTTGCACTGAATAATATMAACAACTTGTAGGATAACTGAAGACTGTAAGATGTGTGGGATGCTGATTAAACATCGTGCAGGTGGCATCAACTTTGTCACTTGCTAGATTAAGGTTCACTTGCAGTCCTTGGAAGCAATGAATATGAATGCAACAAAATAGCAGATTAAGATAGCAGGTGCTTACCTACAGAAATAAGTGATCAAAGAGCCTTTTTCCTTGGAGAGAACTGAACTGCAGTTTATATGTCTTTGCATGTATTTTTTTTATTAGATAATATTTTAAAAGAAGAAATATAAATAAAAGAAGAAATATAAATATTAGAAAATATTTTAAAAGACCATGCAGAAGACCACATAAAAGAGAAATGCTGCTACTGGTATCAGTAGAAACTGTTCTGTGGGTACATCACCATCAAGAAGAAAGAGCAGTGTTTATACTTCATGGCTATAAGAGTATTCTTTTAATCTCTGTTCTTTCTTTTTATCCTTTCAATTTTACTTCAGTAGCAAAACAGTAATTTTACTATTAAGCAGAGAAATTTGGTTTTCCTTGCAAGTTATGGTTGGTCTCAAGTTGTACCTTCATATAGGCTGCTTACGAAAAGCATATATTTAATAGATTATTGGAACAAACTGAAGTAAGTCATTATGTTCCTGTAGTAGATTTTTTTTTACTTTATGCATTAGTTCAAAGTCAGAAGTCTTTGCCTACCCTTCTCCTTTATTTCTCTTCGCTTTTTATTTGTTTAATACATATAATCTTATCTAATCACTGTACTTAAGTGTCCTGAGTAACTACAGTCAGACACCTCTCTGCTTTCYCTCCTTTTGGGGAAAATTCTTTGAACTTGAGCTGCTTTTCAGGTTTGGAAGGCATAACAAGCTCGTTTGCTTATTTTATCTTAACTCTTTTCATCAGTTACATAAAGTCACCATGGAGAGAAGTAAGGCAGGAAGCAGTTGGCTCTACCTGACACGGTGCTTTGCTCAGAGTGCTGAGGTGTGACAGCCCTTGATGCACAGCACAGCTGGCTGTGTGTCAGCTGAACATCCCTGTACCAGGGGAGCTGTACCAGGGTCCTGGGCTCAGTGTGACAGATTGAGTGTGTCCTTGTACACTGCGAGGTGGATTAGTGCGAGGACAAYGCTGGCTTGAAATACTGCAGCTCTCCTCCAGCCACTTTGTGAAATTACAGCCCTTTTGTTTCGTATCCTGGCACCACTGAATCCAAACAAAGGCTGCAATACCTCCAGTGTCAGTGGAAGGAATGATAAACTTAGTTTGTCCTTGGCTTCAGAGGCTTGGCACACTGCAGGGTGTTGCTGCCTACCTTCCATACCTTTTTCCTGSCCTCCAGAAAGAGCATGGCAAGCTCCTCCATTGCAATTGAATCTGCTCCAGATACTGACCGTGGTCTTTGCAAGCTCTGTGAGCTCCCCTCTCTGCTGGGAAATGGCCTCTGACCTTCAGCCAGGTGACCACTAATGTGCCACAAGGCACATTACCTGCAGGTGCTGAACTTCAGAGTTCATGATGGAGTATCTGGCTCTGGAAGAGTGGAACCCTCTCCCTTGGGAATGACATTAGATGGCATTTTCCTAAGGGAGCGGCTTCTCTTTTCCCTCAGCATGCAGTTGCTGATACGTGTTCTCTCCACAGGCTGCTGATACACTTGCTGTGAGGCAGAAGAGAAGGATCTATGATATCACCAATGTTTTGGAGGGGATAGATCTCATTGAGAAGAAGTCAAAAAACAGCATTCAGTGGAAGTAAGTTATGTCTATTATGCAAATTTTCACATGCCTAAGAGCAACAAAACTTGCTTCTTTCTACTTCTTCTGACTAGATATGACAGAATAAAATTAGCATGATGCTAATTAATGAGCAGTATGGCATTGTGGAATTACAATAAAGTTGCAAATGAAATGTATTTATCTTCCTTTTAACTTGTGTCTTTGATACACAAAATCATGTTTAAGCATACAGAAGAGAAACTTCCAGAAAACTTGTAGTTCTACTTTATCAATAGCACGTGTAGTTGAAAAATTCACACTGAATGAATCCAGGAGGGGTATCAGGACACACTATCTCCACCTACCTCCCACAGTCTGTGCCTATTTTCTCTTAGGTCTCTGAAGATAAAAACTCAAGAATTATAGAGGGAGGAGAAAGAGCTTGCAAACCAGTTCCAACACAAAAAAAMTGCATTCCAAAAGAAGATAAATTTTTGTGGAGAGAAATTCTTAATTTAATCTAAAGCTAATAACTTTCATTTTTCTATTAAAACACAACTGGGAGAGTAAATGCCCATTTCCTTCATATTGAATATTAGTAGATTTTCCAAATGTTGAAAATATCTGAAGAAATTATCATTGTATGTTTGCTTTAGATTTTCACTTTTGGTTTCATGAACCCTTATACCTTTTTAAGAGGAGTAGGTGCTGGCTGCAATACAAAAGAAGTCATAGACAGGCTGAGGTATCTGGAAGCTGAAATTGAAGATTTAGAGCTAAAAGAAAAAGAATTGGATCAGCAGAAGCTGTGGCTTCAGCAGAGTATCAAGAACGTCATGGAYGATTCTACAAACCACCAATATCCTTTTAAATTAATTGTGTGCATTTTGGAACTAGAATTAAAGCAACAGTTAAAGTGTGGATAATGGATAAAGCATAATATGGCCCATTTTATCCAGAATCAAGGTAAGGTAAGTATCTTTTCAGGTTTTGCCTCAACAAAAGAAGATAAAAATCTTATTTACATGACTTTTTAACATCATGACTGGTAACATGAAAATAATTTAGCACACATATATACGTGTGTGTGTGTGTGTGTGTGTGTGTGTACAGCAGTAACTTTTAAGTCAATAGGATAATCCTGGTGTCTGACTTGAAATGAATTGTTTTATCAAGCTTTCTAGAACTTGAACTTATACTTTGTTACCAGTGCTTTACATGAATCTTTTTTGTTGCTTCATTGTTTTGAAAATACTAAGCTATCACCCCAAGATAAATTGAGTTGACAAAGTCCTGAAGCTCATTGGGTTTGAAACTGGAAAAAAATATCCTGCATATAAGTACCAAAGAGTTCCAGCTGCCTTGCTTATAAGCATATGTTTGGCTGCCCTGCAAAATACTGAGCAATGTAGACACCTGAGATTGGAAGCAAGAAAAGTACCCTTACCTATAATACCAATGATAAGTGCTTAAAAATTACTGGAGTTTCTGTGCAGAAAACATTTCTGTAAAATGTTTTTCTAGCAAAGGAGGTTGAAGTTAAATGTTAGGAGAAACTTTCCTTTTGGGAGAACTAGCACTGAAATTGATCCCCCAGGGAGATGGTGGAATATCTGTCACGGGAAGTTTTGCAGAAGAGGAAAGACAAACATCTGTCTGGAATGTCTGAACAGTGGATCCTACCTTGAGGCAGAGGTGTGGGATGGTAGATGAATTCTGAAGTTCCCTTTAGCAGTATTTTTCTATGATTCTGGGAAATGCTGATACATACCCRAGTTCTGTATTGTCAAGTTAGCAAGATAAATGGTATTCTTCAAAACAAGATTTTACATGTTCTCCTTTTTTAGAAGACACTCTTCTCATTCAAACTAAACAACTGTTTTTCTCTTTTCTTTGCAGATACAGGTTTTTTTCTTTAAAACACAGAACTTCTGTTATTTGTAATGAGCCATTCTGAACATCAAAAATAATGCCTTGATTACACCTCTGAGTAAAAATAATAACTTTATAGTTTAGGCTCAATTTGGATAAACTTCTTTTAAACACATAGCAGTTTTAAATTGCTTTAAGAAAAATGTTCCTTGACATAAATTACATTTTCGTATGTCACCCATGAAGATATCTGCAACTGCTTCAATGGTAAGTTGCTGCTAGGCTGTGTTTCTAAAGTGAGGGATTTCTTGAAAAATAACCTGCTTTTTCCCTGCAAATATTTTGAATTCAGAAGTACTTAATAGTGATCAGTACTAGACGTGTCTCATAATGTTCATGACTACCAAGTTCTGGCATTTTCTAGTTGTAGGCACAGATTTATAGAATGGAACTCAGCTGCAGCCCTAGTTTTGGATGTCATTTTTGATATTTATACATCAGCAGCTTGCCATGAGCCATTAATGGAAGCAGAGACAGGACATGTTGGTTCAACCCTCCAAAAGAACAAGGAAGATCCAAATTTCTTACCATTTTCTGGTAGCAACAAGACAGAACTTGTGATGGTGTATATAGGAGCCACCTGYAGGTCAATGATGGGGTATTGCTGCTAAATCTAAAGGATTCCTGTACAGGCAGTTTGAAGAAATTGTCTAGAATTGCTGGCAGAGGTTACTTCCCTTGACATCATCTCTTGATCCGGGCACACCCAAGGGAAGATTGTTGTTCAGTCTCCAGCTAGGCTCAAAACCGTATTTTCTTTGCCACAAGAAAGATTATTTTTTAATAAAAACACAAGATTAGAAAACTACAGCAGAATTTAAAAAAAAAAAGAGTTGTTACTGAAAAGATTTAGTCATTACAAAACATGGAGGCACTGTCATGGTGCTCACATAGTACTTCACCTCAGTGTTTCTTAGGAGGCAGAGAAAGAAGAGTGTTGTTCCAAATTAGCTGTGAACAAAGGGGTAATGATGTGCAGGTAGGTAAGTGGCCTGCAGCRTGATGGCAGTGCTGTGGATGTAATTGTGGTCCCCTGACCTTAACCAACACATTTTCATGTGCAYAGTAAGCCACAGATGAGTTTGACCGCCAGCTGCTACATCCCAGTTCCATGTGCTGCAGAAGCTATGAGTTTAGATACTTGGAAGTGCTGGTACTGAAGATGAACATTAATACTTTCTCTTCCTTCTGTTAAATCTCTGTAGTACCACCATTCATCAAAGTCATAAAGTGAGCTAGACCAGAGAGCTGGTTTAGCTGAAGTCATTCGAGGAGCAGCTGAGGGAGCTGGGATTGTTTAGCCTGGAGAAAAGGAGGCTCAAGTGAGATCTTATCACTCTCTACAACTGYCTGAAAGGAGGCTGTAGCCAGGTGGGGGTCAGTCTCTTCTCCCAGGCAACCAGTGACAGGACAAGAGAACATGGCCTTAAGCTGTCCAAGGGGGGTTCAGGTTGGACATCAGGAAAATCTTCACAGAAAGGGTTAATAAACAYTGGATCAGGCTGCCCAGGGAGGTGGTGGAGTCACTATCCTTGGAGGTGTTCAGGAAAGGACTGACATGACACTTCGTGCTATTGGTCTAGTTGACAAGGTGGTGATYAGTCAAAGGTTGGACTCAATGATCTTGGAAGTCTTTTCCAACCTAAATGATTCTTTAATTTTGTGAAAAAGGGAACTCGTTTAATATTTTCACCTTATGTTATATATAAAACTAGAAGACATGGGTAAAGAAAATGGTAAATCTTGTACTGTTATGAGAAAAGGTTTTTGCAACTATGATTTAAGTATGGGAATTCTGTGATTTACTTTATGCARTATACTTGGATCTTACTGTGCATGTCCTGCCACAAGTTTATATATGCTAAATTATGCAGTACTTGAGGTGGCCTTAGAGAATTTCCATATCTTACTTGAGTGGATACTGTGCAAGACTTAAGAAAAATACACTTACTTAAAAATTGCTGTTTAACCAGGAGATACACTTCTAGCAATTCAAGCACCTTGTGGTACACAGTTAGAAGTACCTAGACCTGAAATGGTATGTACTGGTTTCTTGTTTACCTAAGTGTTCTAGAGCAATAGTGGAAAAAAAGAGCTATTTTAAAGTAGAGGATTTCTCTCTATCCCTATGCAAGAGGAGGAGGAGAAAGGCTTAGGATCGTTTCAATTGAGAAGAGACAGGCTGGATGGAAAAAAGTGGGTTTTATACTGTGGTGACTGTCATCTATTAAAACCAAGATTCACTAGTAGGTTTCTTCTCTCTTGTTTTTAAATGTTGCAACTTTCAAAAGCATGCATAGTTTTCATGAATTCTCTTGAGAACTCAGTGATTTTTATGTGTCAGGTTTCTCTGTTGTATTGTTAAAATGGATCTCTTATGAAAAAGCCTTTCAGATTTAGTTTAGATTTAATTTAGATTTGATCTTGTAGTGCTAGACTGGATAGAGAAACAGACTGCAGTCTCGCTTTAGCCAAAAGGATTTAATTGGCAAGAATAAAATAGGCCAGGTTATTTACTTCTCTCTATCGTTTAACTTTTCATCATTGTTGTTGTTGCAGTGCTTGGTTTTAAGTAGTGTTTACATAGTTGRGAGAGAGCATTTTATGAAAAATGATAGCCACTGTGCTTATAGAAGGCTGAAATTCACCTGAGAAGTCTCACAAGCTATTTTTAGTGCAGCTAAGCACTGTCTAATATTGTAAAAGCATCCAAGACTAGAGCCATGAAGTTGATCAGTGGTACTGTCTTTATCTGACTGCTGAAATCAATTCAGGCAATGGTAAGGTTCTCTGCAGGACCCAAGGCAGCAACTGAAACAGCTGATCTTAGTCTTCATCAGCTTGTACAGTTCCAAATTCTCAAGGAACAGTAACTTTCATAATGTACCACTTTTACAGGGACACAATGGACAGAAGAAATACCAGATCAATCTTAAAAGCAGCTCAGGACCTATCCATGTGCTGCTTATAAATAAAGAATCGAGCTCCTCCAAGCCCACGGTGTTCCCRGTTCCTCCGCCCGATGACCTTGCACAGCCCCCATCTCAACCTGCAGCTCCAGCGACTCCACTTAAACCAGCTACAGCTCCTCCAGATCCCCCAGAACATGACCTGAAACAAGCACAGGAGTTACCGCAAACAGCAGCTGTAGGCACACCATCAGGTAGATCCATGGGTTTTCCTGCCTCTGATGGGTGGGGGAGGAAGGCAGTTGGARGGAAAGAAGAAACTGTTAAGAAAGGTGCAAGAATTTGCATAGGGTAGAGCTGTCCATTTAAAACTTACTCCAAGGGCTTGGTAGCAGTTCTCAGTAGGTTACAGAGATRTCTTTTCCTCATCTGTGAAACAGATGCTTCCCTCAGAGCTTATCATTTTACTCTGAACAGGTTTTGGATGTAATCCTGTTAATTTTTCTGAGGTGCTTCTCCAGAATGCAGTATGGAGCAAAATTGCAAACCTCTGACGGAGGATATGATTTGAACGTGTACCTTTTAATGAGACTGATAATACAGGCATCAGTTCCAGCTTTTGTGCCACAAGGTCGCTTACCTTCTTCCACATAGCCACAGTGAGAGGCTGCCTGAGTATCAGGTATTTTTTTCATAGTAATAGTAAATTAATAGGTAATAGGAAAATATTTAAGAAAATGCTGTGAGTATTGCAACTGCATTTCTGAGGAGTCCTGATTAACCTTTAATAAATAAACTGTTAATTGTGACTGTGGAAGGGCAAAACTCCTCTCACTTGATCCCAGACATTGGCYGTGCTCTCCTCAAAAGACAAATCTGGGGGCACGTGCTTTGTGTTCCGTTTCACTTGTAACACGCCTTCCTGTCCATGTAGATGGCAGTGCCCAGCGGGACAGTGCAGCCCCTGCAGCCCCTTACTCCAGCCTTCCAGAGCCAGAGCTGTACCCTAGCCTGTCTGGAGACAGTGCCCAAGCTTCAGCCAGCTCCAGTGACTACCAGAGCTTGCTGCCTCTGGATGTCAACTGTATTCTCAAGCCAAACTCATTTGACATTGCAAAGATGGAGGAGCCTGCAGGTAGGAAGCAGTAGTTCCTGTTCAAATGTTTTTACTGGCTTCCTGAGCCCTTCTTTGTGACCAAGTTACCAATGAGTTACACAGAGGGAAAAACAGGCCTCTTATCTCCTAATGAAGCCACTAGGCCAGCTCTGAGGAGCCATACTCATTTTGAACCAATGGGTTTCCTTGCCACCAATAAGCTTCATGTTGTATATGGCACTTGGATTATAAGAGATTAGTGGGAAAATGTATTGGGAGGGGGAGGAACTCAGGGGATACAAAGATGAATACATATTTTACATCTACATGGCATGCTATCTCTGCAGCTCTTACACTGCATGAGCCATAGCGTACTTGGCAATTCAGTGTTTAAATGCAAAGAATGTGTTGACGTCTATAAACACGTTATTAAAAACCTCCCATACACAAAGCATGTGCTCCTGTCTTTCACAGGAAATATCAGTGGAGATATTATTGATGAACTCATGTCTTCTGATGGTAAGTATTTAGCATCTTTTCTAATAATCAAAAGTAGCAGCATGGTTTTTGTGTGAACAGCACTTACAAGGCATCTGTTAAATCTGATGCCAAGAGTCAGTATGAAGCTACTTCTTTCCCATGTTGCCTGYTCTGTCACTCTTGTCTTTGCTCCCCTTTCTATTCCCTGCAACAGTTTTATTTAACAGTCAAAATATGAAAATCTTAATCCAATAAGCACTTACATGCATGAATAACCCACCAGTCCTTAAGTTAGGGACAAAGAAAGAACAAGCTGATAACTAGTGTGCTGCCTTAAAAAAAAGTCTGTTTTAATTCTGTCCTGCCTAAAGCTTCATGCAGGTGCTTTAAATATTTCAGAACATAGTTACATGTCTGGATGCAGACCTCATGCATAGCCAGCTGTGGTACACTAACAGAACAAGTGCCACCCATTTCTGCTCTTGCTTGTCTTGGGCCATGTGAGTGCAGCACTGAACCACAGCTACTAGAGTTCATGTGCTCCCTACCTCTCTGCCACTCTCACTCTTGTGGTGCCAGGTAGACGTGAACTCTGCTTGCTCTGTTCTTTTTGCCCGGTGTTCTGTGAGSCCTGTGCTAATATCTGCCCTTCAGGCAGACCACCTCAAGGCTCACCCTGAAAGAGACGTGGTTRTAAGAGGGGCAAGATGGGATTCTGTCAATGTGCCAATGTGTGTCTAACATGGAAACAGCCTCATTTCTACAGCCGGGACAGCATGCTCAGCTCATCTACACTCTGCTAGAGTTCCTACAGTGCAGAGGGCTGAGACTTATCTTCCTGCATTCCCCCAAAGACAGTTTTGAGTATGCTTGAAATGCAGTGCACAGACAAACTGCTACCCTCCATTCCTCCTCTTGAAAATAGAAAGAATGCTGACTTCCTTACTTACTTGATGGCTGATAGATGCAATATTGTAACAAGACAAAGGAATATAGATTACGGCTTTCTGGTAAAGTTTCTTAAAGCTGCTAAGGAGCTCCTTGGCTGTAGAAGAAATTAAACCCATATTCCACAGCTACCACTTCATTTCAGCAAAGTTACTTAAAATATCAGGCAAAAAATTATAGATACATCACTTACTGCCTTAGTTTGAATGCAGAACAGGTATTCATGGTTTGTATCCTAGTGTGCTTGTCAGATTATCAAGACTATTTTAATAATGAAGACTAACCCTGGTGACAAACATACTGAATTATGAGATAGGGCTGATTTTCCAAAAGTGTTTTAATTTAAACTAAACTATTCCTGCTTTACAGTTTTTCCTCTCTTACGACTCTCTCCTACTCCCGGAGATGACTACAACTTTAACCTGGATGATAATGAAGGAGTCTGTGATCTCTTTGATGTGCAGATACTAAATTATTAGATATYGTGTCAACCAGACTACTTATCTACCTCTAACTATAACATTCTAGACTTCATAACCTAAGTATTTGAATAATGAATGTATAACTTCTTAGTTCACTGACTCTGGGAGTATATTTCCTTTTGCTTCCTTTAACTACTTCACAAAACAAATTCAAGAACAAGAAAAAAGGGCTCTTATCAGAAATTCTGGCACTTTTTCACCTGAGTGTTTCTCTATGTAATCCAATTGTTTGGAGCTTTTAGTAAGAAAAGTGAAAATACTCTATAGCCTTTTGATCATTTTTTTGAAAATGATTAGGCTTCTCACAATTAACARCATTTTATTTGAAGCTTTACTGCCAAGAAGCTTTCTATAATCTTTAACTTTTCAAACAATTTTGAAGCTTTCACTGCCAAGTTGTAAAGTGAAGGGTATCAACATGAGTTATGCTAAATTGTTTCAGTGAACCAATTTTGTGAAGTGCCTTCTGTTTTAGCACTTTAAGTTTCTCACACTGACTTCTGACATTCCACTTTCCTAGATGACAGGAAAGGTCTGTTTGTAGTTTGTATTAAAGTGTGCCAATACTTGTATATTAACAAGATTTTTTTAATAAAATTGTGCAAACAAAGCCATTAGTATTTGTGGTCTTTCGTTTCTTGCAACCCCTTCTTTGTCCATTTTGCATTACAACTGAGATAATAGGCTTGTGGCAGCATCCACGTTTGCTGGTTCCTTTTCTAGATTTGTGGAAACCTGAAAAAGAAGAAGCATTTAGATTTAAAGKAGAAAGCCATTTCTTTTTATTCTGCATAAAAAAAACAACTAATAAATACCCATTGTCTAGAAAATTGGTTTGTCTTTTATATATTTAATTTAGGCTAATTTTGCAGTCATATCTTGTAATCCCCCCAATTATTAAAGTAAGCAGCAAATGCTTTGTTCTTCAGGAGAAAGACAGTAATGTAACACGTGGGGCCCAACTGAGACAGACTCAGCTTTTAGTTCACAACTGCTCTCAATAACTCTTACGCAACTTTGGAGAAAACACTATTACAGCCTCAGTGATCAAATTCAGCATAGTCATGCACAGCCCTACTAGCACAGARTTAGTGGTAAAGTTTGAATCCTTGGAGGAATAAGTCACAAGCCAGCAGAGATAGGACCACTGGCTCCAACTGCCTTGAAATCCTAGCTTGGCCTCATCCTGTGCTGAGCACTGTCACTTGTATTTCATTTTTCCCTCTGCCTCTCTTTAAGRTATTTGACACTTGTTTTGTTGCTCCCAGCTGTGCAGAAACTTGATCACCTCRGGCACACTAGGAACTCATGTCCACTTCTCCAAACTCCACCTTCCCCCAACAGTCAGGATGGATTCATCTGCACCACATCGTGAAGCACTGCTTTCTCTCCCTGAAATTCTACCCAGAGTGTCAGAGTCAGGATAAAGAGTTTCTATGTAAGAACTTGTCAGGAATTAAACTTYGTGATTTAATTCCTGTGCAAGACTGCAAGTGGGCAGAACTAGACAAAAGCAAGTGAAACACTGTCTTGAACCCTAAGTGCTGCAGGCAAAACCTCTACTATGGAAATTGTTTCAGATACTGGTACTTCTGATGAGGTAATATGAAGGCTTAGGAATCTGGAACAGAGAGAACTGTTTGTTTCGAAGCACTGTCAGGTGCCTCAGAGAGGGAACAGCCAAGTTCATCCTCTGTCTATTCATATGGAGATGTAAGTTTCAAATCAAGGGGATGGAGCTGGGACTAAACCAATTAGAAATCAGCTAGAATAATTCTGAAGCATGCTTCAAGCATGGCTGCCTGCCCTGTTCTCTCTCTAGCAGTTACATAGCATTTGAATGTGCTAACCARGTTTCAGTATTGCAATACAAATGAAATTTATAAAACTGGGATTACAGCTTTAAAGCAACTGCATGAATTCACAAATTCACAGAATATTGTGAAGTGGATGGGACCACAAGGATCATCAAATCCACCTTTTAAGTAAGTTGCCCATGCAGGGGTTGAACTCAGCACCTTGGTACTATCAGCACCATGCTCTGAACAACCACGCTAATTGCCTGCAGTCTTACAGCCACATTATAATGCTTTAAACACACACATTCTCTTCATTCTCAGATTTTTACAAAGTGAAATTACCTGCTGAGTCTTCTGAGGTTCTGCTGTGGTACCTTTTGATAGCTGTTGTATTTCTTTCTGAACTTCAGCGAATGCTTTATTTATTGCGCTAACTTTTTCAGCATTTTTAATGTTTATCTGGGAGAGGAGAAAAAAAGAAAAGATGTATTTTTAAAATATATACACATTTTTAACAAAAGTTCCACTGATGAGAAATTTCCCTAGTTTTGTGCAACTATTATACAACCAGTGTTACATGCTTTTCAGTATGTTTTATCTGTTACTTCATTAGGTCATCTGGTTGTGTACTAATACATTTAAAATTAAGAGTTAATTGGAATAGGAGCCCGTGGTGATCCAGAAAGAACAGAAAAAAAGAAAGTCAGGCTTCGCCACCTTCAGCTCAAGTGAGGGTGGTGCTACACCACCCTCAGCTTCTCTTAGCTGGAGTGCCAGGAAGGGTTCCTTCCTTCAGCTCCCTGGTGGATTGACCCTGGCTGGATGCCAGCTGCCCACCAAAGCTGCTCTATCACTGCCTTCTGCAGCTGGACAGGGGACAGGAAATGAAAGGCCCATGGGTTGAGATAAGGGCAGGGAGAGATGACTCACCAGTTGCCATCATAGGCAGAACAGACTTGACGGGGAAAAGGAATTTCATTTGTCATCAAACAAATGGAGAGGAGTATTCTCAGTTCTGGCACCTGGAGCACCTCCTTCAGTGACCTTGGTGTCTGGAGGGCTGTTTCTATCAAAAATTCTCACTCTGTTCTGACTGCTGTTGYTGTCGTGCTTCTTAACTACATCATGCCAGAGGCACTGTCACAGTTYTTGATGGGCTTGGCCTTGGCCAGCAGCACATCCATCCTGGAGCCAGCTGGCACTGGCCTTTCAGACATGAGGGAAGCTYCCAGCAGATTTTGAGAGAAGCCACCCCTGTAGCCCCTCAAACACAATAAAATTTGTAAATGATTTTACCATTTTAAATTTCTTCCAGTAGCTTACCTTTCAGTATCACGCCTTGCATCCTAATTGTTCACACTATAGGTCTGGCCCACAATCTCTAGCAGGTTTTCCCACAATATTAAAATAAATGGTGTGGCTGTAGCACAGCAGGATGTGTATCTCTGGGCACCTCAGCCTCTCTTAGCACAAGTCTGTTGTGAGTTATTTCATTAAACACACTTGCTTTCAAAGAGGAAGAGCTAGGAATATGGTTGTGCTCTGGGGACAACCATYTATAGTAGAGGAGCAGGGTGGATTCAAAAGGGCATAAACTCTCACCACTGCAGCCAAGTAAGATTCAGCTCATCTCACCCCTAGCACCTGCTGCTTCCAAAGTCTGGAACAGGATCATTGCCAGGTGATGGCCTATCACAAATTCAAGAAGCAGGCTCTCAGGTCTTCAGGCAACCCCAAATTTCAGGATACCTACTGCCATTCCAAACGCTGCCCCTGTAATTTACCTCTCAGCAATTTAAACAGGCAGAAGCAAACWGTGAATGGTTACACGTATTCATTTTGCTTTCAAAGCCTCCATAATTTCAGAGCATTTATACAGTAACAATGATTGCATTTATTCTGACTGACCAAGGGAACCAGTATTAACAAAGCAGTGGCAGTGAAGTTGACAAAACAGACCTACTCTACTCAGATTAACACTTTAACTGGGACAATAAATGGAGAAATACTGCCCCAGCTCCTAGCTCAGATCAGAGTGGATGGACATCATGTTGGTAACATTATGTGCAAACATAAGCTGTTCCATCAGGGCTTGTCACCATCTTCCAGCTTCACAKGGGAGTTAGATGCTTCCAGTTTTAATACATGATATTCTCAGGTACTCCGGCAGGAACTTCTCCATAGAAAGAGGCTCTATAGCTAGCACGAGTATCTATATCAAAACTTRTCTGAATAGTTATAATGGGCTTTTAGCTATTATTGAATAAACGTATTTTAACAATTCTTTTTCTGAGCATCTTCCTATACTGCTTAATGATAAGTAAATCCTATTAAGCCCAGAGGCTTAATGCATTAAAGAATACAGCTTCAAACACAGAATAAAATTTTACTCCTAACAAGCTAACTTTTCATGAATATGATTTTAAACCTGTTTCTCCCTYTATTATACAGAACACTCTAGACTAAGAGGAGATATGATGCCAGCAACATGACATTGTTTTTTCCAAAGTCTGTTACATTCCAGTCTGTCCACCAGATAAATTCATCAAGTGGCTTTGTCTTGCAGGAGGGAATCTAAAACAGGCCTTTTTTTAGAGCTATTTACTTATGTTTGTCCAGCACTTCAACTGCATCAAATGAAAAAAAAKAAGCCATTATCTGCTTTTTTATTAACAGATGCTTTTCTAGAGGGATAGCTGAACTCTCACAGAACATACACCTCAAGCTGGAGGCAGGGTTTAAGAACATAGTCACTGTTACCAACAGGAAAACTTGCTTAAGATCACCCCCATCCCTCTTGTCCTGCATGCTCCCTGCTCTGTGACCACTCTCTCCCTCCTCTGGGCTGTGTTCCTCTGCAGACACAAAAATAACTATCATTTTTTTTCTTTGTTTTTCAATTGCTTTAGTATGTTCAGTTGGCTCACAAAAGTATCTGCAGAGCATCACAGCCCGTGTAAGGTCCAAGAAGGGGGCAGAAAGGAATTAAGAGCAAAACACGTGGCACTGTGCAGTCCTAAATCTGTTCACTGCATCTCACTGACAGAATTTTACTTGACAGCTGAGGCAAATAAAAAGCTACTGGATCAGAAATCGATTCTTTCTGGTTTTTCCCCACTAAAAWGCTTCTCTTTGAATTCATTCATTCGTAATAAAATTTGTTCAGCTCACCAACCCAGCACATAAAATGCAAAATGTATTTTTAATTGCTTTTGCTGCTCATTTAGCAAGTTGAGTCACCTAGTGGGTGAGGAGTTCCTGAGCCAACATCAAGGAGAGCTGTGGGAACAGCCCAGAGCCGGCAAAGGGAACCCTTCCTGGGAGCAGGAACGTGATGGAAGGGAGCAGGACTTCCCCTTGTTAGCTGTACTATGCCCGGTGGTTTGGATCAAAGCATGTTGTTAAACTGTAGATTGAATTACACCCTCATTGACGCTATGAATGCAGTCCG